CAAACATTTGGGTCTCTGATTTGAATGAAACTTGGTAAGTATGTAGTCCTTAATACAAACAGCTTCTTGTCAAAATAAGAGGACCAATTTCTCAAGCATTTCTGAAAAATGGGCCCCTGAAAATTCAGTTATAAGTGATTAAAAAATCATGCTGTCATTTCTTGTTTAGCAAAAACATCATCTCTGTAGATTTATTAACCCTTTCATGTCATTATATAAAATTTTTTCTTCATATTTATTTTTCAGATATGGTGGATATAATTGTTTTAAAATAAATAATGACATGTAAAATTTATATATATATATTATTATTATTATTTGTAATTTACATCTTTTAGATAGTGAAGAAATAACAAATGGCCAAGAAAAGAATAATGGTGATCATGAAGTTTTAATGAGAAAGTCATCTAGTAAGATATTAGAAACTATACCTGAAAATGCAGCAAAGAAAGAGGATGAAAAAAATGATGTGACTAGTGTTGATTCAGAACATTTAGTCTATTTTGTGGATAATGTGCCTTTGGAAAAGGTATTCAAATTTTTGTTTTAAAAAATTTACTTAAATACAAAAATATACTTGGATTTTATAAACATTTCTAGGTCTTTATTTTTGTTTTGTTTGTTGTTTATAAGCTCAGGAAGATTGATTCGATGTCATCTGTAAAATATTCAATCAGATAAATTTACATAATTTTATTAATATTTTATTAATTTAATGCACAAACTTGTCTAGACCAGAATCCAGTATAATGGAAACATGTGTAAACAAAAAACACTCTAGAATAGCATGATTTAACTAAAAAATTTGTAAAAACTGGATAAACTTTAAATCAACACACTAATGCCAAAAATCCAGCAAAACATACACTTTAATAGACAAACTAATGTTTTCAACAGTCTTAAACTCATCATCAGGCTTAATCAAATAACTTCAAACAAGCAATCACAATTAGAACAATTTTTAAATAAAAAAAAGAACCCTTATATGATTAGTTGTAATGTTACATGTAACAAAACATTTAAAATGACAGAAAAATCAATGTATAGGCATTGACCCAAAAATATTGTTTTGGGTCAATGCCTATACATTGATTTTTCTTATGCACATTATGCATTGATTTTCTACACTCTTTTGAATGTTAAGTTACATGTGATGTTACAACCAATCATATAAATTTTCTTTCATTTTTAAAAATTGTTCTAATTTCAATCACATGTTTAAATTTATTTGATTTAAACTTGATGATGATAATTTTATTTTGTCTATGTCCTTTGTATATAAAGTATTAAAGTAAATGTTTTGTTGGATTTTCGGTGTTAGTGTGTTAATTTTGCTAATTTGAATTAAGAGATTTTTTATGTTAAATTTTACTGTAAGCCAGAAACCTGTCTAATATGGAAACAGAAGACATTTTTGGTATGAAAAATGTAACTTAACCTGAATAAAGTAAAAATTGAGATTTCATTTGTGGACAAATAAGTAAAATTGATTCTGAATATAACAGTCACTGCAGAGCATGAAAATATTTCAAGAACAAGTTTAACCATCTTTGTTCATATTAGTCTTTGTTGGAATTAACCAGGGATAATCAAATACTTTTAAGAATCAAAACTTTCAAAAATCAGAATAAGTTTCTAATAATTGAATTTTTGAGAACAACCAATGAATGTAATTTGTGAAAACAATGAGAATAAGGTAATACATGCTGCCAATTATTTCTTGTTGGAGTGGTTAGTAAGCCAATTTCCAATTATTTGAGAGAAAGTTAATTACATTGTTGATAATTAGAGATTAAAGTTAATGATTAATTAGGGTATTAAAACTTCTTCAGAAAACAGATCATGGAATACCTTGGTCTCTGTATTACTGTAATGTAATTAGAATTTTCAAAGGCAGAGCAAAGGCACTAATTATGTTCTCAGATTGGCTTGTTTGCCTATTATGTAAACTCATAAGGCTTGCATACAAGAACTTTTCAGTATTCAAATAACTAACAAAAGTTTTTGCAAATGAGAACTTTTTAGAATTGAATAGTTCTTAATTCTTGCATTCAAATACTTCTGTCTCCAGTTGGAATCACATTTGAATTAAATTGAATTAGACCTAGTAATTAAATTTTTTACATAAGTAATCAAAATGATTTTATTATAAAAATGAGTGTTACTATGTTACATTTATCTGGTATAGTTTAAAGATAAGAAAATGAATAATAATACTAGAATATGTTCAGAATGAAAACCTGTCAAAACAGAAGTACAATTCAGTACTTTGTGATTCTAGTTTACACAGATTTTGGTGTTTATGATACTTTTGATATAAACAATTCAAAAATATATATATTGTTTTTATCTTTTTATAGATATAAATAATTATCTTTCACTTTATGTATTCAGATCTTATCTAAAAATTCAAATATGTATTTAATGGTTACTTATTTAAATTGGTATTTATGAAATTTTATAATTTTGAATACATTATAAAAATTTACAATAACGTATTTTAAATGCAAATTACAACCATTGGAGATAAGAACCTTATTAATATTTTTTTTATATATAAGAAAAGTTTTTTATTTGCAATTTTTATATATGATAATAACATTTGAAATATAAAAACTTTGAAACTTATCAAACATAGTTACAATTTTACATTTTAATTAATGAATTAATTTAGATTTTGAAAGAGACATTAGATTCATTAGGAATTGTTAATGCTGTATGGACATTAGCTAAAGAAGGTAAATTTCATGAAGTAAGTGTTCTTGTTCTTTGTTTTACTTTTCTTATTTTTGTTTTTCTTTATAAAATATTTCATATATTTTTTTTCAGATTTCATTTCCTTGTGAACCAGGCTACAAGTGTGATTTGATTTTACGCGCCTTAATAACTAAAGGAATTGGATTTCGAGGAGGCTCAACAATAGGGTAAAAATTTTTTACTATGCAAAATAAAGTTAATTTTGATATCTTTATCTAAATAATTTAATAAGAAAAGTTACTTTAATTCTACATAAATATGTTATGAAAATAAGATTAAATTATTAATTCTCATAGAAACATTAAGAGCCTTTTTTATTTTTTAAGCGCTTTCACCGCACCAATGCGGAAGCGCCTATTAAAGTCAGTATGCTCATCTATCTGCATTAAAAAATTTGCAGTCTGAATGGATATTGATGAAATTTGATGATAAAGGTATTTACAAAACATTATTGATAAACTTTTAAATTTTTTACATAAAACCATGAATACCTTTTCAATACCTTGCTGAAAAAGCATGCATCCCTTTAAATTATTTTTCAAGAAATTTTTGAATATAATTAATTTTTCCTTTTGTATAAAAACTAATGAATGTAATTTGTGCATTTTTATATCTAATTTAATTTTTAATACAATTTATATTTATATTAATTTGATTATTTAGAAAGCATTAAAAAGATTTTTTTAAAACTTTTCTGAAAATTTTTTCTTAAATCGTATATTTTATGACAAAAATAAAATTATTATTGTTGTATTTTAAGTTTGGGTTATTGGTATAGAATTTTTGATTTCAATTTGACTAATCTAATCTAAATCCAATGTATATAGATAGTCTAATTTAAATTGAAAATACATTTAATGTATAATAAAGTTAGTGATCACACAGATAAAAAACATCAATAGATAATAGCCCAATTATGAATAATTTATTTGATAAACTTATTGGTAATTGAATGAATTTAGATCAAGATGAAATCAAATATTTATGTTATTTTAATATAAAGTAACAATAAAGTACTTCCTTCATTCAGTAGTAACGATATTTTATTCTCAAATACACTCATTAACAAAAAAAGCTACGCATCCTAGATAGAATTCTAATTACTGCAAAACTCAGCATACTGCTATGGAAATGATCAGTTGTGGTCTGATTTCACGCTAATAAGAAGGTCAAACATTTGGGTCTCTGATTTGAATGAAACTTGGTAAGTATGTAGTCCTTAATACAAACAGCTTCTTGTCAAAATAAGAGGACCAATTTCTCAAGCATTTCTGAAAAATGGGCCCCTGAAAATTCAGTTATAAGTGATTAAAAAATCATGCTGTCATTTCTTGTTTAGCAAAAACATCATCTCTGTAGATTTATTAACCCTTTCATGTCATTATATAAAATTTTTTCTTCATATTTATTTTTCAGATATGGTGGTATTGTTATATTTGAAGTGTAACAAATGTGAGCACATGAGAAAATAGTCCATAACATTAACAATAAAAAAAAAGCTATGGCTATTCTATCCTATTTTCATAAGACTTGTCTTTTTTGTCCATGTACAGTAACATCCAAAGCTTATTTGCTTATGATGACACAGTATTTGTATTTTTAATTAAAATTTCAACTTTTTCTATCCAATTTAATTTGTTTTATAAACTTTAAATGTGATGAATAACTAGGACAATAACTAGGACATTGCATGACTCGTCATATTGCGATAGAATTGAGAAGGAGCCGGAAAGAAAGAAGTAATCCCTACACTGTTAGTCATGGAAGAGTTGTGCACATCCATCAGGTACAAGAATCAAGTGAACTTTGCACAAACCCCACAAAAGAGGCTATCCTTGTACCTTGCTGACATGGAGAGGCAGTTGAATAACAAAACAATTACCATTGATTGCTTTGTTCTTGTGTTTTTTTGTTTTTCATGTGCCTATTTTCTGTTAGACACATGTAATGCTGTTTTTATTTTTGACACCTAGGCCTAAATTTCATTAGACGTACTCTAAAACAACTAAAATTGTGAAGTTTCAAACCTACATTATGTTGCTTTGAGTATCTTGTCTACTTGGTTATCAATGCTCCAAAGAGATAAGCTAAACACTCAATTTTCAGATGCTTGTTTCTCAGAAATGCTTGAGAAGTGGGTCCTGTTATTTGGACAAGGAGCTATTGTGTTAAGGACTAAACACTAAGTTTAGTTTGAATCAAAGACCAGAACATTTGACCCTTAACTTATGAGTACAGTAGATCCGCCTATAACATGGTAGATAATTCTGTGTTATATGAATTCCATGTTGTAAGAGTCACTTAGATTTTACAAATACGTGAGCCGGGCACAGAACGGCACACGTATTTGTAAAATCTATGTGACTTGTACATGGAATTCATATAACATGGAATTATCTATCATGTTATAGGGGGGGTCTACTGTAATGCTACCAGTGTATCTTAAAATTGCTATCTTAATATCCTATGAAAAAGCTTGGTACAGGCTCACTGTGTTTAGAATTTTTAAGTGTATCATTGTTTGGAAGTCTTTAAATGTCAGCATGCCTGTATAACAGTCAAATACAATATACACAGCTGACAGAGTTTGAGAAAGGCTGCATGCATCATCAGGGTGAGGAAAATAGAATGTCTGTTTTGCTGAATTGGTTGCCAATTTGGGTCATTCTGACTTAACTGTGAGGAGGTGTTGGAGGTAGTGAATATGGGAGGACACATATATGTGACAGGAAAACTCTAGATGTTCAGACAGATTACTGGAAGAAATCATTGTTGATTGTGACAAGCACAAACAGCTGCAACAGCATTTTTGTTCATCATCCAAAAACAAGTGGAAGCCTTTTTACATAACCCTGTCTTTTCCTATATCATTGGTAAGTGCCCAGCAGAGATAAATTTGTATGTGTAGCAACTGTTTTGCCATAAGCATTGGCTTCATTTGTAGTGGTACTGTGACACAGAAGCATAGATAGCTACAAACTGGCAATGTTTTTGCACCATCCTGGTTTTGTTTGAGAACAGATGATCACTAGTAAACACTTCAATCTCATCTTTACTATTGAGAAGCACACTGCCCCCTATTGTTGGTGTGTGGTCTGGAGAACCATCTCATATAACAGTTGGTCACCCCTAGTGGTGGTAAAAAAAGATAGTAACAACACAGTGGTATATTCAGGAAATTTTGCATTTTCATGTGCAGCCATTTTCCAAAGAGATAATGCTCAACTGTATAAAACTTGGATTTTCTAGAAGTGTCTCCATCATATTGATACACCCTTGGTCTGCTCTGTCTCCAGATTTGTTGCCCATCAAACATCTGTGGAACCAGATGGGATGCCAGCTTCAGTCATCTATGTATGTGAGAAATCTGGAGTAGCAGTTTCAACATCTTTGGGAAAATCTTGCAGAATGATGTATGTTGCTTGTATGCTTTCATGACCATATTACTAAATACATAGAAAAAGAAAAAGAAGGTGTCTTATAATGTACTAATGTTGTTTTAAATTTTACTGTTGTCTCACAGAAAATTCTCTCTTTGCTATGATATAGTAATCACTTGTTACTATCATTATTAAATTCATTATGTTCACACTGATAGTTTTATTCAATTATAACATCATCTTGATGCATAACTTTGTCAATGAGTGTGTTTAAAATTATGTATGAGTGTTTATAATTTATGTTCAAGGATTTTATTGTATTTAAGATTATTGAGCATGTTTTAGTTTGAAAGAATTTGGTATGTGCTTGCTTCAAAAGTGTAAATTTTAAATATTTTTTATAATTTTCAAATATTGTTAACTTCATTCCATTAATATTTTAAGAATTTAAAATTATCAAACTTGAAAACTAAAGATAAAACTCAAATATAAAAAGTATTAAACTCTAAAATTCTGTTTTCATAAATTAATAATTTTTCATTGCAATAAATACTCTTTAATAAATTCATTACTTTTTAAATTAAGAGTATTTTGTTGTTTTTAATGGGGATTCATTGCTTTGTTATATTAATAGGGAGAGGTTTTACTTGCCTAGTGGCATTGTCTTGATGCTGTAAGAATGAATAAGTGCTGGCACATTGAAGCTTTAAAATTAAAATCCCACTTCTTTTGTTGCTTCATTCTTTGAAATGGCCTAACTCATTCAGTAGATTAAAAGATGTTTAAATGTGTTTATGTATTTGAGTGATTGAACTTGTTAATAAACAAATAACACTCAAAGGATAAAGGAACACACAAAAGGATAATAAAGGATGACAAAACTATAGCCTTATTCACTGTAAAGATCTGATGAAGACTTTCAAGGAAGTTGAAAATGTTAGTGCAGGATTAAAATTATCTACTGAAAACAGTGAGGTAAGGCTATAGTTTGTCATATTGTGAGACTAGCAGAGGGCCACTGGGATGATCCCTAATGACCACTTACACTGCAACAGGTTGATGAAACCTGGACTCAGATTGTCGGATGGCTTAGGACGGCAAATCGAATGGGGAGAATGTCAGTAAGTTGGCAGGTACAATGATAGACGACAGCTTAAACAAAATAACAAAACATTTATTGAATAGCTAAGCTAGGTTACATAAGGCGATAACAATATATATATATATATATATATAGGTTAAATGCAGTTAAATATGAGTTAACTATACAAAGGGCTGCTCTTAACAGCTCTAGTGGCTATTCTGAGAGAGAGAGTTCACAAAGCTCTAAAATACAAATACCTCTATGAGGATATGACTAATATGAGTTAGTTGAATGGGCCGTCAAAATTGTAGTCTGCATAGGAACTGTAGAATGGCAATGGAAGTTCAAAGTTGTTGTCTGTCGCTATGTCCAATGTATAGAGACAAGATGCACACAATAAGTATAACTTCCTTTGGTTGCCCTGCTCGAGCCCCTGGAAGCTCATTCCAGGGGCTCGAGCTTTTATATGTTCTTCGTGGGAAAGGAGTCAGGTGATAGACTTCTGTTGACACTAACGGTGCATTCCGATCAACTAAGTGTCATTTCCCACCTAATTGTGAAAACAACCGGTGACCTCCAATATAATTCTCACCAAGAGCAGGTTTTTTTCATCGGAGTTGTTTACAAAGGTTTTTTTCCAACATCTGCGTAAAAATTGCGAATTTCACATATTGTGAACTGAGATTCCAGCTTGAACATTTGAACTGACTCAAAGGCTAAATTGTAACGTAATAAATCATATTTGCTAAAAAAGATCAAGATTCAGACAGAAAAATTGTTTTAGCTGTTGATATAAATGAAACCCATATTCTCTAATAACTTATTGGATGTTTTAACCACTTAAGCCAGTAGGATATATTTATTAATTTATGTTTATTTTTCATAGCTCAATACTTCAAATGGAGCACTTTAACTCATCTTAGAAAAAATTGTTTAAATATCAATATGTTTACCCTGGAAATTTCTTTTGATTATTAAAGATTTCCATTAGAAGTTTGTCATTCAATCCTACTGATCCTTAAAATATCAC